AAAAATGGCGACGTTTGATGACGTTACGGCGCACCAGAGAACAGTTAAGTTAGATAAGGATGTTGTAATGACACCTTAAGAGACTTTAAATAAATACAGAGGAAAGAAAATATGACAAATATCACCAGATCTTTAAAATATAAATTAAATGGAAGTTTTCTTAGCGAAGTTCTCTTTATCGAGTCCCCAGGTAGTACAAAACATACGGACAGACTGCCATTGTAATAGCAAAAGCCGCTGTCACTGTGGACCGTCGATATGAGATTCACTGTTAGTTGAATGATGGTGAGAATACTGTCCGTAACTTGCTAATAAATCTCCAGTAGATCGCACGAGTGTGCCACATTGGTTCCTTAACTGGATATAAACACTCACCTATGTAAATCAGTAAATTTTTTAAATGTCAGTGGGGCTTATCCAACTTTATTTTTAGCAAACATGAAACGTGACGTTGTTTTACACAACTTGACGTTATAATCCGTGCGCCGTAGGGCGATACAGTACATAACATAAAATATCAAAATTTGTTTATTTATGTATCTATCTATTTGAAATTTGCTATATATATTCATATTATAAGTACTAAAGAGTTGTGAAAATTTTAGAACGCAGTGATGATTATTTTTCAAACTAGACAACTTGTCCACGATTTTACGGGACAACCCTCGTATATACCCGGTACATACAAGTGTGCAGTTCACCATGTGACTGTAGGTAGCAGGGAACTATTCGTGCCCTGGAACCTCCAAGTCCACTACCTTGGCATATATAAGCATACTTGTAACTATAAAATCTAACTTTAGGCCCTAAGACTACAATATAACTTAGTAAATTTATGGAACATGTTGATACAGGTACAAAAATGTCAGCAAAACTGATGTATGCCAGAGTTGGATTAAGCATCCAAAGAGTGCGCCACCTCGTCAAACTAAGACGATGGAAGAACTTTTTCCTGCACCTGATAGGTTTATAAATTACAGGTATGCATTTATTATGACTGTTTCATGAATGGTGCAAAATATTAAAAAATGACAGTACCCCAAAAGTGAAAATATAAAAAATAGAGAAATAGCACATTTTTTATGGGCAATATACACTTTTTTCAATGGATGGAACTGTATCTATCTGGTCATCCATCCTAATTTTTTCAGACCAGCAAGCTACAGATCTGCAGCTAGCATGGTATATGTAAAACCATTCAGTGTTGTAATATGCTCCATTTTTCAACTTTTGTCAAAAATTACTAGGGCAACAAATAGGCCAGTCAGTGATAGGAACAGGGAGTTCCTATATCAGAAATTGATAACTGTAGGGAGATTTTCAGGTTAATATATCTGGTGTTTTATTTTAGTGTCACATTGTTTACGAGTTTATTTTATTGTTACTTTTTTGAAAATTTATACTGTGATAGGATAGAATGCATATACACACATGTTTATATATATATATATATATATAAATTCACAAAACACCTAACTAACTCATTACATCCGGACTTTGGACTTCAGATATTTAATGGCTTATTTGACATTGGACTGAAATTCTGACAAGTCTTTCCATTCTTTTTGCTTTTTTTGTCTTTTACATGACTGTTTAGTTTTGTTCTTGTCTCTTTTGTTTTTGTGTTGACTTTGTTTTAAACTTTTAATTATACATTTATACTATCAATTTCAATTCAGTGTGAAGTTTTGCATCACGTCACAATCTTTTTTGACAGATGCATTCAGCGTAAACAATTCATGTGATTGATTAACTCATATTATCAACCTTGACACAGAAATAGTTTGTTGTACAAGCAAACAATCAGGGATTAGAAGAAAGTTCCAGTCGTAAAGCTTGCGGTTAGGAGGCGTATACTATTTACCTTGAACGCATCTGTCAAACTAGAAGATCCTGACGTAACATAAAACTTCAACTCAACTGCAACCTTTAGTAAAATGTTAAAATATTATTCACCCTATTTCTCATATACTTAAAGTTATTTGTACATTCTTTTTACATGTATACATATTGAAATCCAAAATTTATTTGAAGTAGTGAATAAAATAAGTTTGAAGAAATATTTAACATATATACCAGTATAAAGAATTGGTGATGTAACTGCAATACAGGTTTATTGAGTATTTGTTGTCTTTTTCACTGAGGGTTTAATTGTTTTTTTTTTAATTAAATCAACAGCAATGCATTGAATACTATCCCCCGAGCTGCCTGTGCCCACACTTGCAGTGCCTCTAGTTGAAGACCTCATCTCTAGCCAGGAATTTATTTCTGCAGAGAATCCAATCGCTTGGATGAAGCAAAAATTAATGATAAATGAGCAAGAAATCCAACAGGTAAAGACAAATGAGTTGCATAATGAATAGAATGTATTCTGTTTCATTATGAATGTTGTTTAAGTTTTAAGATTTTTGTCATGTTTTAGATTGCCTGTCTTACCACTGGTCAAAAGGAAAATTGCATGTGGTCATCTGTTAGGAAGAATAGATTAAGGTAAGTCACTCCTCAAATTTGTTACATCAAGGATTTTTTGGGAAGTATATTTTGGATAAGTATTCATATAGTATGTCTCAAAAACGCAGAGAAAATAGGGAGTCAGTGTGCATCTTACTGATCTATGGTACAATTAAGTTGACCTTTTTGCACTTAAATTTTAACTCTTTGATTTATTACTTTATCTCTAATTTTATTTTATCAGATGTTACTACATTTATAAATTTAATCTTATTCTACATAAAATAGTTTGAATAATATTTATCATTGAACAAATCTTGCAAATTAATGCGCGTTTATTATTGTGTGACCTTTTTGCACTAAAAAAATAACATATTTGGGGTATTAAAAAACTAAATAGCAATAAAACTATTTTCTTATATCAAGCTTTTTAGGAGTGAAGTGCTGATCAGTCACAAGTATCGAGTAGTTTAAAATAATGAAAGAAAAAGTTTGGGTCAGTGATGTTAATTTTGAAATAATGGTCAAAATATGTGATTTTCAGGCAAAAAATGGTGTAAATTTTATCTTGACTTTTTTAATATATCTTCATTTCTTGGCAAAGTTTGTTGAGGGAAGGTGTAAAACTTGTTCTAAAAATATGAATTAAGACCTATATTAAATATTCCTGCAAAATCATAACGGAAAATATTCTCCGAGTAAAAGTATGTGAGGCTAAAGTCTCAAGACATTAAATTTAATAAATGTGCAGATTTGCAGAAATTTCTGCTGAATATCCTTCCACCACAAGAAATAGTCCCTCATTAGTCTTGCTTCTTTGTAGATTTTTAAGCAGTTTTTTCGATGAATATTAAAAAATTTACATTGTTGAATATAAATATTTTTTAAAAAATTGAATTTTGATAAATATTTTTTAAGTAAGAGGTTCTGCGTGAACTTTTCTAAAAAGCTGATGAGTGACTTACCTTAACAGCTTCAAACTTTGGTTGTGTTTTGGCAGCGATCAAGAGAAATAGGTATACTGGTAGTTTACATGCCTTTATATGTATATGTAATTATAAATGATACTTGTAAAAGCAGTTAATTATAAAATCAAAAATATTGAAAGTTTGCTCCTTATATAACAGAAATCCTGTCTCCTTATACAAAAGATTATGCTCAGCTTATGATCTGTCAAAGAAGGATGCCATTATTTGGGGGACGTGCAATGAAAAAATTGCAATTGAAAAGTATAGAACTTTTGGGGATGCAGTTGTAGAGCCAATAGGTTGGTATATTTCTTTCCTAAGCAAAATTTCAATTTCTTTAAAGCAAATAAAAATTGATGATAAATAAAATTTTTCTTGAGCTAATTTATTTAAAATTCAGTTATTAAACTGAAGTTGAAGATAATGAATATAAATATACTGTTTTTAGCTCTACTAGTAAGAGACCAGAAGAGCTTATGCGATAGTAATGCGTCCGGCGTCCGTCCCTCTGTCTGTCCGTCTGTCTGTAAACAATTTTTTAAAATGCTACTCCTCCTACAGTTTTGGTCTAATTTCAATATAACTTGGCACACAAGTAGACTACACTAAGATACATAATTCTGTATATCGGTTTTTGATTTTGATGAACGATGTTGCCGTGGTTACTAAAAATAGAAATTTCTGTGAAATTCTTTCAAAATGCTACTCCTCCTACAGTTTTGGTCTGATTTCAGTATAACTTGGCACACAAGTAGACTACATTAAGATACATAATTCTGTATATCGGTTTTTTATATCGATGAACGGTGTTGCCGTGGTTACTAAAAAAAGAAATTTTTTTCAAAATGCTACTCCTCCTACAGTTTTGGTCTGATTTCAGTATAACTTGGCACACAAGTAGACTACACTAATATACATAATTCTATGCATTGGTTTTTGATTTCGATGAAAGGTGTTGCCGTGGTTACTAAAAATAGGAATTTCTGTGAAATTCTTTCAAAATGCTACTCCTCCTACAGTTTTGGTCTGATTTCAGTATTACTTGGCAAACAAGTAGAATACACTAAGATACATAATTCTGTATATCGGTTTTTGATTTCGATGAATGGTGTTGTCTTGGTTACTAAAAATAGAAATATCTGTAAAATTGTTTCAAAATGCTACTCCTCTTACAGTTTTGGTCTGATTTCAATATAACTTGGCACACAAGTAGAATACAATAAGATACATAATTCTGTATATCGAATTTTAATTTTGATGAACGGTGTTGCCGTGGTTACTAAAAATAGAAATGTCTGTAAAATTGTTTCAAAATGCTACTCCTCCTACAGTTTTGGTCTGATTTCAGTATAACTTGGCACACAAGTAGACTACGTACACTATGAACAAAAGAGACTTTATCAACGATCATTATTCTATTTAATGCTGTTTATAAAGTTTCAAATCCCAGCTGCTTAAGTACTTTCTCTTCCTTTGCTATAAGTTCAAACCAGTAGAGCTTCAGTCTCGACAGAGACTTCTGGTTATGTTCTATTTATAACAAGTCATCAATGCATAAGAAAATCAGAGTGTTGCATATTAATGCTATTTTGTAACTTTATAATACTGTTCATATTAGGTATCTGGATACACTGTAATGGGGTTCTTGGGTCAAGCCCCGATGGACTCATTCGTCGTCCTGCTGCATTCGGATTCAGCTATCAGAATCCAGGACTCGCTGACATATTAGAGATGTCAAACGTTAAGCCAGAAATACTGGAGGTGAAATGCCCCTTTTCAGCAAAGAGTATGACAATTCCAGAAGCTATTGAAAAAGTACATGATTTCTGCCTAGGTAATAATAGTGTATATGTATTTGTTTGAATATGTTTCATGTACTGAGATATTACTTTAAATAATTCAAATATATTAGTTTGGATAAATTTAAGTACAATTTAGCAATTGTTAAAAAAGTTTTTTCCTTCTGTTGTAATGTTAGTCCTCAAGGCAGATGATTTGCCTTCTCACTTTATTGTACAGTAAGGAACAAAATACTTATACATGTAAATATTTATTAGTTAAATAGTTTTGTCTTATATTAATGATTGAGGCACCAATGAAAATTCTTGTTCTTTAAAAATCTTCAACATATATATTTTTTTCATATAGAGGTTCAGGATTTTAATGGAGTCAAGTCCTTCAAGCTACGAGAGAACCACCAATACTATGATCAAGTGCAAGGACAGCTTCATATAACTAGGAAATCCTTGTGTGATTTTATGGTCTGAACACCAAAAGACTGTGCGATTGTGAGAATTAACAAAGACATCAATTGGGAGATCAACATATCTGTTTTGACGGACTTTTATTTCTGTCAATTTCTCCCGTATTTACAACAGCTATAAGATATAACATTAAACATGGTGAAAACATTTTAATTTTAATATCTTAGTTATCTACACTTGCAAAATTCTGAGCAATTTCCTGCATAAGGGGATCCTGAAAATTGACTAAAACACAGCATAATTGAAAGACTTTAGTAGAAATATATCTAAATTGCTGCAGAACATGCCTTAAAATTTCATAATTCTTAATACGCTCATTTGCTCTTTCAACATGTATTTGTGACTTAGCAATTCTTCGACATAGTTGGACCTCACTGGGGGTGTATTGGGATTTAGATGTAAGAAAGGGAGGAATATTTAGATGTACTCCTTGGCGAACAACTTGTGAATAGTGAACCCTTTGTCTGCTTAGATCATATCACCTGGAGATAACTGTTCTAAGACTTTACAATGTTCTACAGTTGCAACATCAGATGTGCTGCCAGGGTACAATTTACTAATAAATACCAAAGCACCATTAGGTGCAACACCTGTAACACTTTTAACAGTGTGAGAATTTTTGTATCCGCTGTATGTGCTGGCCTGCAATCTCATATCATTCCCTGGAACATCCTGGGTGATTTCTGTTGCATCAAATACTATTCTACATTAACTAAAATCCCCAAAACTTGTAGGCATAGACCCCTTGCAGTTCTGGAGAGAAGGAATGCGACTCTCTACGAGTCCTTCATATACATACATGCCAACTTTCCCGATTTTTTCGGGAGTCTACCGATTTTTAACCCTGTCTACCGCTTGTCTACCGATTAATTTTTTTCTCCCATTTCTACCGATATTTCGAAAATCCGGAATTTTTACCGATTCGCTTTGAATAATACAGTATTTCCGTATGCAGAAAAACATGGCTGTTTCATTGTTTATCGGTAGGATATCTGTTTATTGCCGCTGATAACAGGTAATCAACAAGGTGTCAACTGTGCTACCAGTTATTACAGAGGTTTTTATTGCTCCTGAACCTCATTAACAGTGTATTTTACCCAAGACAATTATGCCAGATGTGGAAATTTTAGAAATACACACGACACTGGATACAAACGGACAAACTTGTGAGAGTTCACACTTTACAGCAAATTCGACAATATACGTATAAACTGTTTATAAAAGGTGTTCAAGTTTTGGAATATTGCATTCCTCATTAAATTGTAATCATCTTCATGGAAAAGACACTGCCAAAATCCAACATGGACAAAATGTGCCTGCAAGTAAAAACCATTAGGACTGCCCAGAGTGATCAAAATAAAAAAGAAAGGAAAAGACCATACCTTTTGCAGACTTTGATTGAAAAGTTAAAATGACTTAATATTCCCTCTGATTAAGAAAAAAATAATTTAACAATATTTTGTATAACAGTAGCCTTATAAACTTTGTAATTTACCAACAGACAATGAACAGTTCAGCTTATTTGTAAAGTTTAACATCCTTATTTATGTAATAATATGTTAACTTTGTGCATCACATTCTTTAAGACAGGGGGTATATTTATCTTAATATTAACATATTGAATAATTTTGAATAAAATTGTCTTTTTTAAAAAATTTAAATGGTATTGTATTTGTGCTTTTCTTTAAGTTGATAGAGAAGAATACACTTTTTGAAGTAGTAATAATATATGGTAGTAGATTGATAATTTAGAAAAAACAACCTACAAAAAGTTATTTCACGACAAAACGCCGCAAATTAGGAACTTTTAAAAATGTCGTTACGCGCAATCTCCCCCAAGAAAATTTTCAAAAGTTGGCATGTATGCATATATTATTTCATTCAAAGCACAAATCTGCGAAGTTACAATGTTATTGACAGATGACGGACTACTCGTGTTAAACCTCTCAGCAAGGTCCAAAAATGGGATGTTCATTGTCAGTTTCATTAAAGGCATCAACAATTGGTCAGTCAATGAAATGAAAGATGGTGTCCATCCATCAATATACCTTATCTGGAACCTCTGCATCATTTCATCAATGGCAAGAAACATGTCAGGACGTAGACTTGTGTACATCAGCATCTATATGAAAACATGACATTAAAAACGGTGCCAAGAATATTTTTAGCCGGGCTTATTGCTCAAAGAGCAATTGCCGGCTTTTGTGATCCTGTTCAAGGCAGGATGTTGACCCCATAGTCGCCATTTTAAAGTTACGTGCAAAAATATAGTTCTTACTCAACCGCTTTTGAGATAATACAAACGCTAAATAAAGCAACAAAAATAAAACGAAGTTTTATCTATATAAAATAAACATTAGTAGTAATGACTTTGAAAACTTCCTAAGTCAAAGAACATAGTTTATTAGGGTAAGGATTCTTGATAATCAGTGTTACTGTAGTTCTCTACACATTAGTCACATACGAGGTAAAGCAGGAGAGGGAACCAGACTGACCTGTTTGTTTACATTCAGCTGCAGTACCAGATTAATTCTGATTCTGACAAAATCGGACCGTGGTATTAGGATTGAAAAACTCACTGTCAGTGTCTTATCATTTATATTGATAGTTTTAAAATAATTTTTCCATCAGAATATAAACGTGATTCATGTAAGAAATCCATTCTACTCTGTAAATGAGCCCGGCTCTCTGTACTTCTGAGTACTTTGATTGATAGCGCTCTCGAGCGCTATACTAACTACGTTATTCCATAAGTCTGGAATACGCATGCTCTGCTTAACGGTCGGGTATTGTGTGAAAACCACGGTCTACATGTACCTGTCTGTGAAAACGATCATAGATAGACTGTACGATATAACAATTTCGTTATGTCATTAAATGAAATTGGCCTTTTCTGTTTTCATTCTGAAGTTTATTTATTCATAGGTAACTTACACTGTAAATTAACTACACAAGAAAAACTTAGGTCATGTAATGCCAAGATCCTATAGACATCAAGCTTGCAAGTTGTACCTCCTTTCTGGATATAAACTTGTTCAGCCTGTAACAATATGTGCCAATTAGCGACAATGTATACATATACAATAAGATTAGGATATTGTCGGCAACAATAATGTGATGTTTCGTCACAAACGTTAATAAACATGATAAAAGAAAGTGTGGTTTATGTAAGTTGTGGATACAAATTATATCTTTAGTTTTAAATCCCTTAATCAAGAAAATGTGCTCTCAGGGTGACATTCATAATTATCTACATAATGTATTCTCTTTACCATCAGCTCATAGTATATACATGTAATTCATATAAAAAACTTTCCCACAAGCTCTTATTCATTTTATGAAGATTGCTTCAATTATCAAATAAATGTTTAAGATAATTAGTACTCATCAAAAGTCGCTAGAGACTTCCTGTAAGAAGTTGTTTTTGGGATATCCTTAAACATCGAAATGTTCCTTTCTTCAATATGATAGACAGTGTTTCCCCTGGTTAGATTCGTTTTAAATAATATATAATTTATTGCTTTGGCAATAATGCATTAATATAAATGCATTATAAAAGTCTTGAATGTAAATGGTTTTAATTCTAAAGCTCATGCAGTATTGATTTTTTGATTTTTTTTATGTAAATACCCTTTAAAAGGGGATGTACAGGGTGTACCAAAACATATGTTACACTTTTAATCGATTACAACTTTATCAAACCAAAAGCATTCACAAAGATATGTTTTGTTAACATAAAGTGTATTAGCATACATTTTATCTGACAAACTTTCGAGAAATTCTATTAAAAATTAAGGTGATTATGACGTCCTTATGACGTCATCATATTTTTTAATATGGAACCTTCATGTGAACAGCTGGTATAATTTGTAAAACTTTACTATGGGTCTAAATCTTCTGCTTTAGTCATTAGAACCATGAGAAAACAACATTCTTTAATTAAAGTACTCAATAGAATACTAATTTACAAATTTAATTGTGAAGGAGTTTGAAGTTAAAGGCACCATAAATGACACATGACTTAATTCTAGTATTAGAAGACCAAGGAGTACCCGTACCATAGAGAACATTAATCACATTGATCGAGTTATTACTGAAACTTTACAAAAATCCCTTAGACGGGTCCTGTATTAACAAGCTAGCACCTTTAATAAATCTAGGGTCCATATAATACTCAAATTTAAATTAAAATTGATTCGTTACAAGATATTTGGGTTTGTCCATTGGATTTTTATTAAAACCGACTCTGAAAATTTAAAAGAAGCATGGTTTTCCGGTGAAGCCCACTTCCATTTTAACAATGTTTTTAAAGAAAATCTTAAATTCCGTTGTTTGGTGAAATCCAGTTTTAATGTGGAAAACAATCCAAATTGTTAGAATAAAACATCAGAAATCGTGTTCAAACACTGTCAATTTAAAGGACCTCAAAGACCTCATTTGGAAGATGTTGTAAAATGATATACATGTATGTTATTCTAACCAAAAAATATTGATAACAAATAAGGAAACGGTGACACATGTTTGCTTGACAAACAATTTATAACTATTTTATTATGTAATTTAAATTTCATTCATATAACTTGAGGCACAATTTTTTTAATATCAATTTAAAAGTGTAACATATGTTTTAGGACATCTTGTACATGTAGACTGAAACGCGTAACGGATTCGGGGAAACGAAACGGAAAGCAGAAATGACACAGCATCGTATTTAACAATCCCCATGCAGAGTCGTCGTTCGTTCCTCGGTAAAGACAAACTCGAAAAGCTTTTTTTAAGGGGGGTGGGGTGGTGATGTCTTATTCTTTCAGTACTAAATTCTATTTTTTATACACTATACTGCAACAAAAAAGGGGAGGGCGGCTTTCATTGAACATTTTCAAAATTTATAGGTTAGTAAAAGTAATCATCAAAATATTTCAAGTGAATTAATCAGCTAGAGATGTGTTTTCCGTTTCCTGTCACTTTCCGTTTCGTTTTCCAACGTTCCGCGTTTTAGCAATACCTTTTTATAAAATCCTACAGGCTGGACGGACGGGTTGAGGTTCAAGTTTTATATTTTCTTTTCTTGATATGTAATACATTGATGTAAATATAATAATTTGTATCGCTGGTAGAGAGGGAAATTGAGCAGCATTGGATCGTTGGCGCTCCCCAAGTAATTTTGTAGATGATAGATCTACGATATGAATATTTAGAGGGTAGATCCATGTGGACTATCATTACATCATCTACAAAATTACACGGCCTATGGAATGGAACTCATCAACATTCAAAATTAATATACACTATACAGTGTACATATACATAGGTATAATTATGTAACTCTAGCATGCCAAAGCTCACGACGAGATAGTCTGGCTTTGAACATTTGAACATTAACGAACCAATATAGGACAAATCATGCCTTTGCTATTTTGGAATAGAAGATCTTTCATAATTATGTATCTATGTGTAAAACTTTGATCATCCAATATTATTAAACATGCTGAAGGAGATTTATTTTTGAAAACAACAAAATTGTGCAAAATTGAACCTCCCTCTTTTTCAGGTAATTCCAATTCACTTTGCTTATTATTGTGAACACAGATGCTGTTTCATACAGGAGTTTGTAATCTTATATTAGTTTTGTCTTCCATAAAGGTAAAGAAAAATTAAATGTTTGTATTTCCAATTTCTTTTTATAATGCCTAATATTACTTTGAAATTTAAGTGTGACTTATAATTTACTATAGCTATGCATATGCTGTGATTCAGCGAAATCGTCGGCTGTGTCTGTCGAGGCTTGCCCAGGAACTGAAACAGAGTGGAATAACGCTGCACAGAAAAAGAATTGTTCATCAATTCCACAGAACTGCAGCTCAATACCTTTGGTTTACCATTGTGTTCCTAATCACTTCTTAAATGCCACTTATGAAGTCTGTGCTGCCGCCAAGTTCATTTTCAACGGTCGGTATATTGTTTACTTAAATTGGTTGATTATAAACATGTGCAAGCACTAGATTTTTCATCAGACCCACCATGTTTCTTTTTGTATTTTCTTGATTGAACAAAACATATCGTGCCGTCATAGGTTTCCGATAGTCATATGTTTCCGATATTCATGAATATGTTTCCGATAGTCTATTTTCGTCGCGCGAGTTTTCCCTAAAATGACGTCATATTTTTAAAATTACTAAGGACACCTCATTACAAGCAGCCCCCTGGGGATCCGGGTTAGAATAGGTCCTCAGTACCCCCTTGCTTGTCGTAAAAGGCGGCTAAATGGGACCGTATAAACCGAGACCCCGTGTCACAGTTGGTGTGGCACGATAAAGATCCATCCCTGCTCAAAGGCCGTAAGTGCCGAGCATAGGCCTAAATTTGCAGCCCTTCACCGGCAATGGTGACGTCTCCGTATCAGTTAAATATTCTGGAGAGGGACGTTAAACAGTATACAATCAATCAATCAATCAATCAATACAAGCAAAAACTGGGAATTAACTCTGACCGCGATTGTTGTTAGACTGTCGGAAACCCATGACGCCAGGATATATAAATAGGCAGAACAAGAATGGACAAACATGACAAGTGATACATGTGTATTAAAGTAATTTTTCTATGTTTAAAAAGTATTTGTTTGCTGACCTTAAAATATTTTAAAGATATTGTTATTTTTCGTTCAACACCTTAGAAACAAAGATTGTGTTATACATGTAATACATAAATAAGGTTGTTGGTTACTGAGTATACATGTATAATGCAGATACATGTTAATTAAAAAAATGTAAACAAACATGCAAGTCAAATAAGTAACAAATTTGAAAGCTACAGACAAAAAATGCTTTTTTTTCCTTTACAAAACACTTGAAATAGGTGTGCAAGTATTTTAAACGCCCATTACATTCAACAGATGAGAGAAAAATATTTATTCCCCTAAGGAAGAAGGGCTTTAATACCATGGGTTAAGACATATGACCAAGTTTTGTTATGAATTACGTACTCTACATCAAACATTGCGTGATTAGTTGTTTGATATTATTTTCAGAGTGATTTCTTATCTACCAGTTTTCAGATATGATTAGCAATAGCGACATATTAAATTAATGCATCAGTGTGTTGAATATTTCTTTAAAGGTTGATATTCCATAAAAGAGTCAAGTAATAAAAAAATATACCTGATTTTTATTTTACAACACTGAATATATGAATGTATTAGCCCATCCCAATTATGTCACCTTGTTAAGAAAATCAAAATTATCTTTAAATTAACATAATTATGTTAACATATGTTAAACAACACTGATAGATAATCTGCCATGTTGACCAGAACATTATCTATTCTCAGTCCTGTACTTATGCGGAATATCCCCATTATGCAGGTTTTTATCTTAAGTTTTAATCGGTCATCTTTAATATAGTATTTTTGTACTGTAAACAACAAACATATTTAACAAAAAGTTTACTTAGTGCCCTTTTTATATAATTCTATACAAGTCTTTTTCAGTTTTTTTTTTTTTTTTAATTTTTTTTCAATTTAAAAGATAAAAATTTAGAATATGTTCATTTCATTTTTATTTTACTGATTTTTTTTTATTTTGTATTTTTTTTTACAGGAAGGTGCACGGAGTATAATGTAGGAGGTGGGGTTGTACAAGGAAATTTCCTGACAAATTGCAGAGATTTCAATGAAAGTGCATGCCCATCAAGATACAAATCAACGGAAACATTCCAATGTAAGTTTTGTCTACTGTTTATTCATGACACCCACATAAAATATCTGTTCACATTCATTCAATGCTACCTTATTCTCAATGTATTTGATAATTTTAAGTTAATCCAATTCATTTAAAGATATTTTAAACTTTAAATTATAATGTGACATCTAAAATTATGTAATTTGAAATGTCTACAGTACACGCACACTCACTCAAATGCTCATATTTTTTTTTTTTTTACAATATAGAAAACAATGATTAAAAACATTTTTAACAAGTGTAACTTAAAACCCATCTAAATATTGCCAGTATTGTCCACATCACTATGAGAGTTTTCTCCATTAAGATCAACACTATCCCCGAAACCTCCGGGGCTGTAGTCCTATACTTTTGTTGGGGGCAATGTCGATTAACAAATTCTAGTGATTCCTGCGTTTAATTCACGGACATCATCATCGACATTTTCTTCATCAACAGCATCATTGTCATGGACATCATCGTCGTCACCATCATCAATATCAGCGACATCATCGTTGTCATCAACATCTTCGTTAGGATGAACACCTCAGCATGTTGCTAAAACATCAGCCCTCCTTTATCAGTAAATAATTATTTTCTCTATATATGACATTTCAATCATGTAGCCACGTTTTAGTTCAATATAACATAAACCCAAACATATTCTCAATATCGTCAACTTGTTTACAGTAGTCGTAGATACAAAATAACTTGCAATACATCCCGTCACTTACTTTCACTCAGAACAATCAAATGGAGGAATAAAACTAGATACGATCTCGTTGCGAGCAACGAGAGGTCTTCCGTCCGTTTTAGGAAAAGAAACCCACGTAAAATCGAGCTGAAGAGAGATTCAAAATTTTGTTCACAAGGAGGATTGAACCCATGTCGCCAACGTGAATGCGCCTTTTTTTTTTTTTTTTTACTTTTTTATCCCCAACGTGCTAACCATTCAGATATTGGGAGTACTGCTCTAAACATACTTGTGTATACTTTTGCAACAGTTCACCTGTCTAAGAATTATAAAAAGCATTCATAATTTCGCGCCAAATGCCACGAGTAAATATGCGCGCCTTTTCTTGGCCTGATCTATTAAATAGGTATGATAGCTTCAATTAAATTTTAAAAATAAAACATTCTTAGCGCCATTATTTTATTTCGACGTTAAGAAAGAATATGTAACACATTATACACATTACATATCGTATCTAGCCCAGTAACACTAAAGCAGTGAAACGGAAATTAAGTTTTAAGACTGACACTCAATTGCAACTTACTACTGTAAAGTGTCGGACCTCATGAGTGGTCAGTAGGTCTGTGCTCGGATAAGCGAGTTTTACTGGGGTTATGATTGAATGCAATATATACAGATAATAATATGACACCTGCCTGGTGTCTTTAAATCAAATGACCTAAGTGCTTTGTACAATTATATATCTTCAGTTAATACCGGCACCTGCCTGGTGCCATATGACAATTGCCTCACTATACAACTGACTATATAAGTCAACAGCCACCTGCCTGGTGCCTCTTGATTTAGCCTTTAACACCTGCCTGGTGTCTTACTGCTTACCAAGTTGCCTATTTAACTCTAGCCAAGTAGCTACAATATACTTACACAGTATTTAACTTTGTAAGAGCTTCTCTGTCCGAATGAAAAACCTATAGCTAACGTCACACAGCTATATTTTAATTAGTCACTGACTACGGCAACTTTGCACAATACGATCAGATCGATACACTAATTGGTTTCTGTACTAAAGTGAAGACACGAGCCAGTTGGCTATACTGCCCCCTTGTACCTCAATTTAATCAATGATCATAAGTTATCAGATATCATATTGATAAAATACAACAGACTGCCTTTCTTTTGGCAACACTATTATTATTTTCTAACAGAACATCATTTATCAATAATACTTGTATAATTCTTTTGTCAATTGACCAATTAATTACAATATTTACATTGATTATCTATAATAATATAAACAAGTAACGGGAGGTAACTCCTCCAGCCATTTCACTACTACGTGAGAGTCGAAGTAGTTTTTTACATTTCATGTATCCTTATGTCAGAATCGTTTAATCAAACGCTCAGCTGCCTCCATTAACCCCTACTCGCGAAATGGCAGAGTCTACGGAGACAGCCGCCATTTTGGACCCGCTTCAGATTTTAGAATGTTAATATCTAGAGTTTGGATTTGTCAATATTCAAACAGATTATATAGTAAGCATCATTAGAAAGATCTCTATTACCCAAGCTTAAAATACTTCAAAAATATTGAAAAACAAAAAAGTTAGAAAAATCGACTTTTGAAATTCGCATCTGGTAACAACAGGAAGTACTGACGACGAACGAAAAGTTGCGTCCTGGATAGTAATTACGACGATCTATCATCCCTGAAAGTTTCATTTTGATATCTTTTACCATTCTTGAGATAATCTTTGGACAAAATGTCATTTTAAAATCAGGAAATGTCCCGTAACTTGGCACCGGAAGCGAATCTTCAAAAAATCTCTCGGATAAAATAACTTCAGATAATAACACATTGTTTCCCTAAATTTCATGAAAATCCATCCTGCAGTCTTTGAGAAATGGCGTGCACAAAATTAGATGGGCGGAAAAAAAAAATAATAATAACTAGAGCAAAGCTCGTTGCAAAGCAACGAGTAGGTCTTCCGTCCTGTTTTACCGGAAGTAGATTTTATTTATAACAAAAATGCGAAATAACGCCCAAAAATAGCCTGAATCCTCTAAAAGTTTGTTAATTAATGCAAAAATAAGCCGTTTTTCGCTACTTCCGGTCTGACCGGAAGTGACGACGACGGACAGAAAATTAATTTTCATGCCCCCAGAGACATTTGTTTCCCCAAAATTTGTCATGAACGGCAAAAATACGTATTTTCAAACTACTTCCGGTTTGGCCGGAAGTGACGTCGCCGGACGAATTTTGACGACGCCAATAGATTAAGCTTGACCTTTTGAACAACTTTGCTTCTTTGACGTATTACAAATTCTTTATGAATTTTGAGATATAAAGAAAAAAGTTTCGGCCCCTCTAGGCCCTTATTTTAGGGGCCAGCCCTTTTTTGCGAGATATCATTTGAAAGATCTTGAAATACTGCACTTCTTTTGCTCTATATGTCTTAACAAAATATTTATAGGTTAAAAGATATCTACGAAAAAGTGTTACAAGTTTTGAAATTCGTGATACGTCTATTTTCGGGCCATAGCGAGCGCCGACGTGCGGCACTTCCGATTAAAATGAAATACGTTGTACATATCTACAGACTTTGGTCTATCATACCTGAAAGTTTCATGTTTCTATCTTGAGCCATTATTGAGAAAGTCTGCGGACAAACTGACCCTTCAAAAATCATAAAATCGGCAATATCTCCAAACCGGAAGTGACGTCATCAAATCGGAAAAAAATGCATAAGGTTCAAGTAATGTTACAGAAGTCCTGAAAGTTTCATGGAAATTCATCAAGCCGTTTTTGAGAAATCGCGTGCACAAAATTGGGGAGAAAAAAAATAATAAGAACTAGAGCAAAGCTCGTTGCAAAGCAACGAGTAGGTCTTCCGTCCTGTTTGACCGGAAGGAGCATTAATTTTTAACAAAAATGAGAAATAACGCCTAAAAATGGTTTGAATCCTCTAACACTATGTTAATTAATGCAAAAATAAGCAATTTGTTGCTACTTCCGGTTTGACCGGAAGTGACGACGACGGACGAAAAATTATTTTTTTGCTTCTAGAAACATTTGTTACCAAAAAACTTGTCAAGAACGGCAAAAATACGCGTTTTTCGACTACTTCCGGTTTGGCCGGAAGTGACGACGCCGGACGTATTTTGATGACTTCAGTAGATTAAGCTTGTCATTTTGAACAACTTTGCTTCTTTGACGTATTACAAATTCTCAATACGTTTTGAGATATAAAGAAAAAACTGTCGGCCCCTCTAGGCCCTTAAATTTAGGGGCCAGCCCTTTTTTCGAGATATCATTTGAAAGATCTTTAAATTCTACACTTCTTTTATTCTTAATGTTTTCACAAAATATTTTCAGGTAAAAAGATATCGAAGAAAAGGTGTGAGAAATTTTGAAATTTGTGATAGGTCTATTTTCGGGCCATAGCGAGCGCCGACGAGCGTCATTTCCGGTAAATTTGATATACCTGATGCACCTCTCCAGACATAGCTCTACCTAGCCTCAAAGTTTGAAGTTTCTATCTAGAGCCGTTTTTCGGAAAAATTGTGGACAAAATGACCCTTAAAAATCAGAAAATCGACGATATCTCTAGACCGGAAGTGACGTCATCGAAACGGAAAAAAACGCATAAGGTTCAAGTGATGTTCCATAAGTCCTGAAAGTTTCATAAGATTTTGTTCAGCCGTTTTTGAGAAATCGCGTGCACAAAATCGGTAAGAAAAAAAAATAATAATAAAAGTGAAAAAGAAACCGAAGAAAAACAATAAGGTCTTCCGCTGAAGACGGAAGACCTTAACTAGAGCCGAGCTCGTTGCAAAGCAACGAGTAGGTCTTCCGTCCGAATTTAACCGGAAGTGCCGGAAGTGACGTGAACAAAAGAAAGCAATGAGCTGAGTAGTCTCCGGTGACTTTATAATTTCAATTTTGCATTTAAGCCTTCAAAATAAGCAATTTTTTGCTACTTCCGGTTTGACCGGAAGTGATGACGACGGACGAAAAAATTATTTTTTTGCTTCTAGAGACATTTGTTACCAAAAGTCTTGTCGAGAATGGCAAAAATACGCGTTTTCCGACTACTTCCGGTTGGGCCGGAAGTGACGACGCCAGACGTTTTCTGACGACTTCATTTGATTAAGCTTGTCATTTTGAACAACTTTGCTTCTTTGACGTATTACAAATTCTCAATACGTTTTGAGATATAAAGAAAAAACTGTTGGCCCCTCTAGGCCCTTAAATTTAGGGGCAGGCCCTTTTTTCGAGATATCATTTGAAAGATCTTCAAATTCTGCACTTCTTTTGTTCTATACGTTTTCACAAAATATCTTCAGGTAAAAAGATATCTAAGAAAAGGTGTGAGAAATTTTGAAATTCGTGATAGGTCTATTTTCGGGCCATAGCGAGCGCCGACGAGCGTCACTTCCGGTAAATTTGATATACCTAATGCACCTCTCCAGACATAGCTCTACCTAGCCTCAAAGTTTGAAGTTTCTATCTAGAGCCGTTTTTCGGGAAAATTCTGGACAAAATGACCCTTAAAAATCAGAAAATCGACGATATCTCTAGATCGGAAGTGACGTCATCGAAACGGGAAAAAACGCATAAGGTTCAAGTGATGTTCCATACGTCCTGAAAGTTTCATAAGATTTTGTTGAGCCGTTTTCGAAAAATCGCGTGCACAAAATCGGTAAGAAAAAAAAAATAATAATAATAATAATAAAAGTGAAAAAGAAACCTAAGAAAGCAATAAGGTCTTCCGCTGAAGACGGAAGACCTTAAAAACAGTGGAAAAGAAACAAACGAATAACAAGAAGGTCTTCCGCTGAAGACGGAAGACCTTAACTAGAAACGATCTCGTTGCGAGCAAAGAGAGGTCTTCCGTCTGATTCCGAAAAATAACCCTCAAATCGAACTGAAAATCTATGAAACTTTTTTTGGACACACTGGTAATTGAAACGGGTCATTAGCGTGAAAATCCGATACGCTTATCGATTACGCTATTTGAACAATTTCTCTAAATTCACTTGTATGTACATGTAATTCTGCAGAAGATAATCTGTCTTGGAATTATGAAAGGAGGGTCACTATTCATAATTTCGCGCCAGACGCCAGGAGTAAATTTTAGCGCCTTTCACTTGGAATGTTCTATGAAAAAGGTGAGATGGTTAATTTTTTTTTTTTTAATAATTTTCCTGTTTATCACGAAAGTGGAGTGGATTATTCCGATTACCTACACTTTCATGAAAAAGGTGGTGTGTTTCACCGAAAAAAAAAAATGCCTCGATCGCGAAGACGTGGGCCAAGGAATAAGATTCAATTATGTTCAATAACTTGCATTGAGAAAAAGAAATGTTTATATGAAGTTAATTAAACGGTCTTTTAATATTTTTTTTTTAAATTCTTATTGTAGCAGTTGTTTTTTCTATTAATTTAATATGACACAAGTGTGCATGGGAGAACAGTGGTCACGTTTTATACTTACTATACATTTTGTATCTTGAAAAACTATTATAACTACATGTACGATTTAAGCTATGTGTTTCCGTGATGCAAAACAAAAGGTAGTAGGTATTGTACTTCATTTCACATTAGTTCTTTTCTATTTGTACTTTGAGAAACAACTAAAACCAATTAAAGAAGACGTGTAAGGAGGCCTTGAATTATAAATGTAGTTTGACACAGAATTGTAACGTACCTATGTCGTGACAATCCAAGTATTCCTTCATATTTCATTGCTCCTTATGTTACTTTCGTTCAAGCAAACGCTCGGCTGCCTCTGTAAACCCCTAATGCAAAATGTCGGAGTTGACAGAGACCGCCGCCATTTTGGTACCGCTTCAAATTTTTGATTGTTAATATCTCGAGTTTGGATTTATCAATTTAAAAACAAATTATATATTCAGCCTAATTGAAAAAGTTTCTATTCACCATACTAATATAATTCAAAAATATTGAAAAACAAAAAAGTTGAAAAATTTGATTTTTTAAATTCGGCTGCAGTAACGACAGGAAGTAGAGACGACGTACAAAAGATTGCGTCCTGGATAGAACTTATCACGACCTATAATCCCTGAAAGTTTCACAGTGATATCTTTTACCGTTCTTGAGATTAACCGCAGACAAAATGTCATTTTAAAATCAGGAAATTGTCCGTAACTTGGCACCAGAAAAAAATTTCCAAAAAATCTCTCGGATATAATAATTTCAGATAACAGCACATCATTCCTGCAAATTTCATGAAAATCCATCCAGTAGTCTTCGAGAAATCGCGTGCACAAAATTAGATGTACGGAAAAATAATAATGAGAAACAGTAGAATCACTATAAGGTCTTCCGTGAAGACGGAAGACCTTAATAAGAAACAATAGAATCACTATAAGGTCTTCCGTGAAGACGGAAGACCTTAAAAATAAACTCTTGTCACGCTTGTGTCATATAAAATGCCTAAATGGAACAAATGCGGTTTCCAAAATATTTAGTTAGAATAGAATTACTTGTAAATTATGACATATTTTGATTAACTAGGAAGCTGGAATGGTTAAAATATTAAAGCTACCATCTTTGTACACGAACCTAATTATTTTAAAATAAAAATTTTGTTAAGATGACAAGGCCCTGGTGAGCAGGCGTGGGCATCACAATAGTGTCATAAATCTGTCTTCAAAGACAATGTTGTACATGAATATTATTGTATTTTCTGTATATACAGAAATGTGAAATAATACTTTTCAGAAAGGCGGTAAAATGAAGGATATTAAGATAATTACAAACAATTAATATCCACTTTGAAAGTCCATAAAACATGCAATACAAATAGGAGCAGAGCAAACAGAGACCTCAAAAACATCAGAGGTGGGATCAGGTGCCATGTAGGAGTGAGTATCCCCTGCCGACCGGCTACATCCGCCGTGTTCCTCATGTTTGGGAAATAACAGAATCCGCCGTCAATTCTGTGTATAAATAATGGACTAACAATTTGTATGAAAAACGTCTCGTAGCAATTGGCTCAATGATAAAATGAATTTTAAGTTTCACTTAAAATATTTTATCTACATTCAGTTGGAATGTTCTGCGTATAAGGTTATCGAGCTTGCATTATCCTTGGATAGTATTTGGCGTGTTCAAATTAGGAGAGGGAAATGCAAGCGATTCTTGGAAATAAAAATATTTAGTATATGCTAAATGAAAATCGTGTGCGGTAAAATTCGGACCCAGTCGTCCAGATAGCATCGCTTTTCAGTTTCTTGTAGCTACATGTAGGACGCCGTGAAAAGCACATGTGTGTTGAGCCGCTTCCACGCCGCCACCTTTTTCCTTTTTTGAGGAAGTCCAATGTTTATATTTTTATTTCTTTGTTTTAAATATGTGTTACGTAGTTTGTTTTAGAGAAGGTTTTATATATTAGGAAATCAATTACACCACATATCATGTAATCACTGTTGACTTATTAATCATATTCATAATTCGGACTCATTCTGTTGTAAGTTTTTGATACAGACCTAGATTGAGAAAATAAGTTGATTATTAATAATTTTAATTAATTAATTAATGAGAATTTAAATATGATTGTAAACAGCATGTGACTTTGGGAATATTTTCTTTTATGTGATAAATATAACAATAAAGACATGTCCATGTTAAAGACATGTCCATGTCGAGTTCTTCACCATAAAGGATCATTTCTTACCAAGAAATGGAAGCATTAATCAAATTTGATAGGCTGAATAAGTAGGTCATGTTTTTAAAATGTTTAGACATGTTGTCCTGTCCCATTTCGCGATGTCTAACACCATTCTTCGTTTTCTTCTAGACCAAGGGTGCTACCAGCTTGTTGTAAGAACTTTAGATCAGAGCACGACACAAAGGTTCAGTTTATTTTTTGAAAAAAATTACAGTTCTTTACCATCTACATCGACACTACCACCTTCAACAGATGTAAAGTAAGTATTAAATTGTTTAAAGTGTGACTTACGTACATGTTACTCTGTTGATAAATTCTTTATTCTTAATGTTGCCTTATCCTACGTTTTATTGTTAGTTGGACGGATTTTTTTCTATAAAACTTGCTTGACTTTGAATCTTTGCAAAGTAAAGATTTTATTTTACAGTTACAAGGATGAAATCGATGTAACTTGGATTGCAGTACCTGTGACTATTACAGTTGTAATCCTGGCTGTGTTGGCCACGTCGCTTATTGCCATTTTTGTCAAACGTCGACGTCGGAAACAAAATCAAGGTATTATCAAAATATTAAAAAAGAATATTGTAATGATTATTGAAAAGAACAAGCAGACGGAATAAAGAAAGAGGACGTATAAGGCGTGTACAACTCCCGCTCTGAGACAAAATATTTCTCAATTTTCAAAATTCACAAAAAAGTTATATTTTTCTAAAATCATGTTCTCAGCAATGTCATCTTCAAAACTTTTTATTATCTTATTTAACTGAACGACTTATTATTTTATTAACTTTTATTGCAAAGTTAACAGTTAAGGATATTTAGTGGAAAATGGGTTTAATAGAGCTATAAAAAAACGAATTTTGAACATGAATGGGTCTAGTCTCCATTCTTCGTTAACGCTTAAATGATGGAAACGTAGATGTGAAATCTATTTCATTAATCCAAAAAATGGAATCTGAACCCATTCTACATGAAAATCGAACTTTTCTGAAAAAATGTTTGCTTCAACAAACCCGTTCATTTAAATGACACTGATAGACGTCAATAATGCATATACTTCGTAGCGTAGTGGTAAAGCGCTTGATCTTGGACCAAACCTGCTCTATGCAGAGAGTTCGAATCATACATGATGCTTTTTCTCTTTTGTTTTCGAATGTCTTAAAAACATGAGTGAAAAAAAATTTAATAAATTATTTAAAAAATGAAATACAGAATTTGATATGTAAAAGATGATATAAACCATGAAATTTTGAAAAAATACTACTTTTAGAATTAAGAAATGTTTTTTCAGAGCAGGGGATTGTCCTCGCCTTGTACGCCTCCATTCTTCCCCCAGATTAAAAAAAACATTTCACCAGCAAGTTTTCTTATCTCCCATACATAAAGTTCAACATTTCTTTTCATGGAAACCTTATAAAACTTTTTTATTTAAAATATAAGCGTAAAGCCTTGACAATTTTCCGGACCATTTGTAGAAATTAAACTTAATGAGTTTTAACTTTAAAAAAAATGGGTTATTTGTCAAGTTATTTTAGAAAAAAATTAATTAAAGAAAATGATAGCGTAGTACAGTTTTTAGCTCACCTCGACGAAGTCGAGATGAGCTTATGCTATACCCCCGGCGTTGGCGTCGGCGTCGGCGTCCCAGGTTAAAGTCTTAGGAGCAAGTCCATTCCCAAGTAACTGATTTGAACATATTTTATTGTAATATAATTACAAAGGGATTGAGCAAAAGTACTGAATACTTATAACGCCCTCTCCCAAGTAACTATAAGCCCTACCTGAACCAAACTTGCATGGATGATGCATCTAGGGATGTACACTACCAGACTTGCCTCGGATGATGGATCTGACCTACATTTTCTAGATGAGTGACCAGGTTAAAGTTTTTGGAGCAGGTTAAGTTTTTAAAGTTTTGGAGCAGGTTAAAGTTTTTGGAGCAGGTCTTTTCCCAAGGAACTATAAGCCCTACCGGGACCAATTTTGCATGGATGATGCATCTAGGGATGGACACTACCAGACTTGCTTCGGATGCTGGATCTGACCTATATTTTCTAGATGAGTGACCAGGTTAAAGTTTTTGGAGCAGGTTAAAGTTTTAGGAGCAGGTCCATTCCCAAGGAATTATAAGCCCTACCCAGACCAAACTTGCATGGATGATGCATCTAGGGATGCACACTACCAGACTTGCTTCGGATGCTGGATCTGACCTACATTTTCCAGATGAGTGACCAGATTAAAGTTTTTGGACAGGTCTATTCTCAAGGAACTATAAGCGCTACCTGGACCAAACTTGCATGGATGATGCATCTAGGAAAGGACATTACAAAACTAGCTTCGTATGCTGGATCTGACCTACATTTTTTAGATGATTGATCAGGTTAAAGTTTTTGGAGCAGGTCCATTCCACACCAACAATAAGCCTATTTGGACCAAACTTGCATGGATGAAGCATCTAGGGATGGACCCTAACAGACTTGCTTCGGATGCTGGATCTGACCTACATTTTCATTCCCAAGTAAATATAAGCCCTAGCTGAACCAAACTTGCATGGATGATGTATCTTGGGATGGACACTACCAGACTTGCTTCGGATGCTGGTCCGACTTACATTTTCATTCCCAAGTAACTATAAGCCTTATTTGGACCAAACTTGCATGGATGATGCATCTAGGGATGGACACTACCAGACTTGCTTCGGATGCATGATCTGACCTAATTTTTCATTCCCAAGTAACTATAAGTCTTAGCTAAACCAAACTTGCATGGATGATGTATCTAGGGATGGACACTACCAGACTTGCTTCAGATGCTGGATCTGACCTACATTTTCATTCCCAAGTAACTATAAGCCCTAGCTAAACCAAACTTGCATGGATGATGTATCTAGGGATGGACACTACTAGACTTGCTTCGGATGCATGATCTGACCTACATTTTCATTCCCAAGTTACTATAAGCCCTTGCTAAAACAAACTTGCATGGATGATGCATCCAAGGATGGACACTACCAGAATTGCTTCGGATGCTAGATCTGACCTATATTATCCATACAAGAGACCAGGTTAAAGTTTTGGGAACAGATCAATCCGAATGAACTTGAAGTCCTTGATATCTGCAGTATTAACAGTTATGAATATTTATTTACACTATACATGTTTTTCACGCTACAGGCGTAGAAATGTGTATATACCATGTAAGGGGTTAAACACAATTTGCAAGAATATTGTTGTTGGGATGAATACTAAATATTAAAAAGAAAATATGATGTTAGATTTGCATTATCTAAACTGATAACATCCGTCGAGGTTAGCTTCGTAATATTTGATTACCTATGTTTAAATGAGTATGAAGACATTAATCAATTTGGCACCCCAATGATAAAAATTCGTGAGCGAGGGGTCAAAACTCTTTGCATGTACAAAGGTGACAAAAATGAATGCATTCCAATCCATTTGATGACTGTTTTATTTCACAGAAAGACAGATTATGTTCAAGGAATTCAAATTTATACATTTACTCAACACTCAGGGCCATATGAGGGATCTTTATCGTGCCAACGCCTGCCGTGACATGGGACATCGGTTTTAAGGTCTCATCCCAGGGACTTGTAAATTTCACTTCATAATAGCAAGCGCTTGTTAAAGGGTGATTGCTAACTACTTTTTATCGCCTCAGGCCTGTCGAAGCCGTGATTCGAACATACATATGTACGACCTTCCGTGCACGGAATGAGCGCTATTCCTACTGCGCTTAATGTACAGGCATGCATTACAGTCACAACATATCGAATAGTTGCATTCCAAATATTCAGATCGTTTTTAAGTAACTACATGTATTAAAATATATAAATTCAAAAGTCTGTGAGAAGAAATTTCTTATAAATTCAGAAAAATGTTTTTAAAAGTATACAACTAAGCTTCACACTTTAAAATTTGTGTATTTATATATAATTATTTTTTTTTTTTTAGAAAACGAAACCCCAGATTCCATTCCTATGAAGGACTACCAAAATGAGTGAAAGAGTTGTTAAAAGGTTTTTGTGTAGATTCACTATAAAAAATTTGGTGATTTGCTTAAATTTGTGATGAGATTTTATATAACAAGGTTTCATTTTGAACTGATTACGCAAGTACTTTGTAATGTGGAGAATGGGATTCTCAAGATTACTGCATCGGCTAACAGGAATGATGAAGAAGGTGACATCATTTTCTTGTAGGTAGCAAGTAATGCCTGCCATGCTTTAAGTTAAAAGCATGTCATACTTTTGAAGACTCAAATTTGATACTCAACGGGATATCCTGGGATAAATTAGTGCAAAGATTCGAAGTCAGAAATATACGTATAGTATATTGGAAAATGCATATGGTGTACGTGCACAATTTATATATGAAACAAACATTAGCCCCATAGCCATTATTCAAAAAAATGTATAACATGTACACTTAAAAATTTCATTCGAAATTGAAAAGCTTTATAACAAGTAAATAAAACAAATTTATTGAAAAGTATTACATACAATGTACATGTACTGGTATGTAATGATTATAGACTTGATATTTTTTCCTGATGATAATGCAACTTTATATGTTTTTCGTATATAGTGATTGAAAAATGTAACGAACTGGATATTTTAGTTCCGAGAAAGAGATTATTAGAGCTGGTTTCATAATACGTAACGGATTTAACTGTTTTTGACGTGCTGACGCTTTGCTTGACGTTTAAATACTACGTCACATTCTCGCCACATCAAAGGAAGTAGCCGAGATTGCGTCTCTCCCACGCTAAAGTCGGTCAGCTGAAATACACATTGCTGACGTTTAACGGGTTTACTATAGGGGAAATAGGGGACAAAAAACACAAATCTTATTAAATAGTTGAAAAAGAGCATTATTTATATTATATGCATTTTTTAGAGTCCATAATAAATTGAAGCCGTAAAAATTTAATTTTATAGCATTTGCCATTTGTGTATATGCCACTGTATACATGCGATATAGATCTAAAATGATGTACATGATAAAAATAAATTGCTGAATTTTAAGTATTTGTCCTGGTCATTCTTGGATTGTAAAGTATTTAAATTGTTTCAAATCACTGCTGATAAAAAATGATTTTTCTGTGGAAAAAATATTCCTTTTATGATAATGTTTTAAACAATCAATTGAAAGACTTGAGAACTAAAGTATACATAGATTATTTTTGCATGTATATCCCAAACAACCGTATTATACCAGTATAATATGTTCTTTAAGTATCCATACATTAACGATATTTCTGTCAAGAAGAGAAGTAGGCATATTCACAATTGTCAATAAATAATGTCAAAATGTTAAATTAGAACTTGTGCATGTTGTTTGCTTAGAAAAAAAAACACACGTATTATAGCTCTCTCTCTCTCTCTCTCTCTCTCTCTCTCTCTCTCTCTCTCTCTCTCTCTCTCCTTTTCTCTCTCTCCAGGAAACGTTTCAGTGGCTGCATATATGTATTTCACTCTATATATAATTCACTCTCATTAATGATACTGTAAATACAAAATTTATTAAAACTTAATAAACTTCAATCGATAAAATTTAAAGGTAAAGGGATACGTCTCCCCCCCCCCCCCCCCGACTTCCCTCTTCTCTTTCTCTCGAATAAACATAGAGAGAGTGTATAGAGAGCGTCTCCATTTTCACCGGTATATTTTGTACAAAATTGCAACAATCTCATCCTGGATGACTTCCAGGGTTGATACGCGTAACTAATAAATCCAATGATCAATGAATAATGCACTACTTGTTTGTAATAGACTAATACATGTACGCAAATATGAAAAAAAGTAAATTTTAAAAATTGACCAATAAATTATTTAAATATTCATAATGGACTAAAAATAAAAAAAATCTTTAAATGCTTTAATTTAAGGTTAAAAAATATTTAACTTTGCAGGTAATTTTCAAGAAAACGACATCGGGACTGTCTACTCCATTTTTTGAACCCCGAAAACAAGCTGTATGTTGCAGCTGACCGACTTTAGCGTGGGAGAGACGCGATCTCGGCTACTTCCTTTGATGTGGCGAGAATGTGACGTAGTATTTAAACTTCTCGACAAACAAAGCGTCAGCAGGTCAAAAACAGTTAAATCCGTTAGGTATTATGAAACCAGCTCTATAATATTTTGATATTTGCTCCCACCCTAAAAAGGTTTGTGTGTGCCAAGGGATTAATACAGTGATGCGGTACTGGTGTTTTCAGATATCACTTATTCAGTTTAGGATTGTCTATTCAAGTAGAATATACAATATTTTATTTTTATGCCACATTGATTTATATGGCCTGATTGTTTTGATTGGCTTTCTTTATTCTGTTAATATTTTCGTCCATTGCATCTTCGAAGAGCTTGTTAACATATTAAGCTAGAAATACAATTATGCATTTATTTCAAAATTCATAACACAGATACCTGTACAGTACATGTAAAACAATTGCCGACAAAACGTTAATTAAGCTACATTATGGTTTAACATTGATTTTTTTTGTAAATTTCATTGTATCATCTTTTTTTCAAAGGTTTAAGTCTAATGTAATTTGAAATATGTATTACTGCTTTTGTTTGCTATTACTAGTAAATGTAATTTACCTGGTAAGAGTTAAATACAAAATTAAGTGCTTGGTAACTTTCTAGATTTTGTACGAGGGTTGATCCAGTTCCTGAGATTTCTAAAAAAAATTATATTATTAGAATAAAACAAGCAAATGACTTATCTACGAGGGTTGATCCAAAAGTAATGTCACTACTTTAATAAAATTGCTATAGATCGGCGTAAAGCAACAAAATTATACATGAAGGAAGCTTTATGTATTTCAAATCAGACCTGAAAAAAACAAAGGAATATGATGTATACTTTTCAAAATATCGGATTTTAAACAATGCGCGTTCATGGTAGTCGCCGCACCTAAATATTATATATGACGGATACACACCGTCATACTTTTAAGCGTTTCCCCTTCTTTTCATAAAAAATATTTGTGATTCGCAAACACTTTCACCAGGGTAAGAATTCTTGGTACTATTATACACTAACTGTTTTCATAATTCATCCCTCTGTCAAAATTTTTTGAACAGTAGCTTAAGACAAACTTAAAAATTCACAAGTCACTCTATACGTTTGCCTTTTTTGACGTCAGATACCATTGAATGTTTCCGTTCGATTTCAAATCTTTCGGTCTTTATGTCCTCTGCTAATCATTCAGTGACCAATCAGCCGCCCAAAATTGCTGAAACCATCTATTAAGATGTCTCTTATTTACATTCTTTATTCTGTACATCTAACTGATTAACGAAAATGTCGCTAGTGATGATTCCCATATTTTGAAGCAAATACGCATTACAACTCGTCGAGCCTTTTTACTCCATTTCGACAATCCCTTTGTTCAATTCAACAGAGTAAAACAACAATATTTATGATTACAAATACCAATGCCGTCATTTAATTTTTAATTAAAGACTAGAAAATGACGAGAATTGTGTCTTTTAAAAAAATTGAGAGATTATATGATTTTTTTAATAATCTTTTTAATGTATTTGTCTTTTTCCTTCTAAGAAAAAATACACTTAAAAACCGTTGTTACGCGGCGACACCCCCTATGCTCTATGTTTTTATCATCTGTAAAATAAATTCAAATAAACATTATTAAATTAAAATTTTGATGTTATTTAGATTTATACTCGTGCATCTTTTGGTAAATTGTATTTGATAATATGACGCCAAATATAAAAAATATGGACACTGTGACATTACTTTTGGATTAACCCTCGTATTAAATAGAGTCATAATACACAAGAACAGTAAAATTTAAATCACGTGAAATCATGGGAGAGACTTTGTCGTAAGGAAAAGTTACGTATGTCAGGCCACGTTCTAGGAGTATTTCATGCTCACGGTCAAATAAACTTCAAAATTCTTTGAAACACTGATTCTATTCTCGATTTCTGCATTTGAGAAAAAAACTTAGGTACCCATTCCGCACCCAATTTCTCCATATTAGGATCATATTCCAAAATATGCTTCGTGTTTCCATATGATATTTCGATTTCAGCAGCAATACCAAGCACAGTACTTTTTACATTAACGCTCTCAATTTGGAAAAAAAAATTCCAATAGGCGATGTTACAACGCGAAATGTAATAACAACGCGAAATGTAATAAACATGGATTATTTCATTTTCCGTTATTACATTTTGCGTCGAGATCAACGCAAAATGTAATAACGCGAAATGTAATAACACGATTTTTAGATTATTACATTAAGCGTTATTACATTTTGCGTCGAGATCAAAGCAAAATGTAATAACGTGCTTTTTCGCTGTTACATTTTGCGTTATTTTATTTTTGCACTGAAGACAACGCAAAATGTAATACAACAATATGTAATAAAACAAAATACAATTTTTTTATTGCGTTTAACAAAAAAGATCATAAAATTGATTCAAAATATACATATAACCAACATGGGAAAAACGCTGTACAAAATATTTAGAACTAAAACAATGAGAACAACGCTAGGGCTTTTACGGACATAAATACATCAAAATGTATCGTTCTTCTGACTCTGGCTTTAGTAATATTGAATACACTGCGCTAAATTATAAAGCTTTAATTTAACTTAATTGGCATATTTTTGATAGTCTTATTAAATTTCTAACCAATAACATAATTTATCTAATTACCAAAGAATTGACGATAGGTTCATTATTAGCTCTTGTTTGCATGGCATGTGTACATTGGTTAACAAAGAAGTGTATGTGTGTATCAAGCGAGGAAGGGCAGGGATAGGGTGGAGTGTTTACTTAGCATATTTATCATTGTATTACTATGGACATGCAGAAACAGTCCATTTTATTATTGGATAGAGAGAGAAAGGGGGGCTGTTTTTGATTGTCTGCAATGCAGGTGATTTGCATAGATCAGTATGGTATCACAATTGTCAATAAACCCTTCAGATATATATTTACACCTGCCAGTACAAATAAATAGATTTTCTTTTAGATTCATTACATTTTCTATTTTAAAAAAGCAAAAGTATACTGCAACTCATGCCCGTTTCTTATTTGCAACAGCTATAATTTGATTACATTAATTAAACTGATTTTAAACACATGTGGCTTTTTATATCAATATATTATGAAATTCATTAATTGTAGGAAATTGCATATATCTGTTTTTTCCTTTTGTTAAATTT